TTCTATAATCGGGTGGAAGGGATAGGGGAACTAATTGTTTACAAACAAAAACAAACAAACAATAAATTCAGAAGTACACCAAGGTAGCTGCACAGGAAAGCCCTTGAGGTTGGGGAATCAAGCAAATACCTAGGTGAATGTGGCAGAGACAGCCAATCTGCTCAAGCTGATGCTACCTACTTCTCCCTGTCTCCTCAGGCACACGACAACTTTCCTTCTCTTAAAGGCAATGGCAGATACTGGGAACAGAGTTCAAATAACAACATAAAATCAACACTGGTTCAGGAATAGATAGTACAGATCCATGTACTGTCAGAGATCCATGTGAGAGCCCAAGAACAGTCTTTGCAATGTTCTAATCTAGCAACATATAATATATACATGCACACACACACACACACACACACACACACACACACGCACACACGCACACACACACAAAGATGGCCAAGGATCAAGCTCCAACATGTAGCATACAAACCAAAATGGAGTCCAAAGGGACAGTGAGCACAGCTCTGTCTTTGGTCTTGTCCCATATGTAAGCTTTTAGAAGTCTCATTGTCCTTGCCTAAGTGAGCTGAACTGTAGGATCTATGAGACACAACTCATGCTTTATGTCCTGAGTTTTGAGGCTATCATGATAGATTTGAAACTGAAATTTTCCTTGGGAAAGACATATAACGAAGAGTAAGGGTATGGCCAGTCATTATTATGTGAATAAATATGAACTTGGAAATGGGGCTTTCATCAGAGACATCTACTAGATCCCACCTCAATCTGTTTCTGCCCTTTTGTCATCACCAGAGTAAGGGCAAGTGACATCACTCCTTACCTTGCTTGTAGACTCCAGAATGGCAGAATGTCACCAGTCAATCAACAGTTGACATTTTTCAATGAACAACAGAATGAAGGAACCAGAGAAACTTCAAAGCCTGATTCCTACATATAATTAGTAAGTATCATCCATGGATCTCAAGGTCATACAGTAATTGGAAGAATGAACCTGGAACATAGGCTAAAAGTACCCTCTACCCAGTCACCTCCTTCAGTCCCCATGTCTTAAATGGCACTGCTTAGGTTCTCTTTTCCTGGTTAACCTTGGTTTCATGTGCTGCTTCCTACAAACCCAGCTCTTCAAACACATGAATAACACGCTAATGATTTCTGTAGAAGCCGCTGTCCATTGTCATGCCATGATTGGTTTTAGGTCTTAGGTTTGTTTCAGTCAGTCCAATAGTCTTAAGTGCATAAATTTCCTTACTTGCTACACTTACTCGGGTCCTGTTCACCTCTACTCATTCCCTTGCTTGTGTATGGAAGCCTTCTGGAAACAATACAACCTAAAGCAAAAGTGTTTTTGATGCCAACTGTGAAGTAGGTTTGCAAGTGCAATCATCCTCAAACTCAAGGAAACCAGTTTAAATCAAACAATTCCGTGACATTTCTACATGAATCTGGACCAGATGGCCCTTAGGTAACTTACGAGATGCTATCCTGACAGCACCATTACAACCTCCTATATAGGATCTCACAACAAACCTTAGAACATACCAAGTTGGACTTCCAAGACACAGTTCAGAGGCTCTCAAGCCATGTAACTATAAAACTTCCTGGGACTCTAATGTGGGATACAGAACTAAAGAATGGCTGGTTAGAATGGAGGCACCACAGTCTTTTCACATATAAGTGTCTCAGAGGGACTAGGAAGTAGACCACGTAGAAGTCTAGACAGAGGTCAGTGGCCAGCCCCAGAAGTGCAGATGTGCTGTGCCATGGCCTAGATAAAGATCTTGTGTTCCAGTCACCCAGCAACTCTTATAGACCTGCCTGAGATCTTGAGCTTGGTCAAGCTTTCTCCCTAAAGTACAGGTTCTGGAGTTGGTTTTGTACCCTACCTCTTCTTCCATCCAAGTAACACACACAGATTCCCTGTGGTCTTCACTGCCTAACAACAGCAAGGTAGAACTTCAGGGAAAGATCCCAGGTAGTCAAGAGGAGGGTAAACAAAGTTCAGATGGAGCAAAGTTTCTTCGGGTGACAATCCCCAACTGATGGCTGCCCTGTATCCAACAGGCAGGGGCTCACTGAAACACACATGCCACAGCCAAGTTCAGTGACTGGTGTTGACATCCCATATCCCTCAGGAACATTTTGCTGGCCCAGCCTAACATGGAAGTCCTCCACACTCTGCCCCTGTCCCGTGTCTCCCTTCTTGACCTCACCTCCTCAGATCCTTGCTCCTACTCAAGCAGATCAGATCACTCCCACCTCCATGTGCAGACTGACTCCCATGCCCCCGTTTCCAGGTCCTAGGGTGCTGCTGCCAGTGAACGAGGCATCCAGAAGCCAGGGCCGCAGCCTAAGGGAGCCTCCTGCACCTCCCCCTCCGTCTGCGCCCTGCCAGAAAGCAAAAGGGAAAACATGCTCGCAGCTTATTTTTACTTTAATAATGTTTTTGTGTAATTATCAAGGACTCTTAAAGCCTCTTGCCCCTCCTGTGTGGTAGGAATAATAAACACGCCCATTTTATAGGGGAGATGAAGGAAGCGAGGCCTAACACACGGAAAGGGAGTATGAATCATCCTCAACAGGCAGTGAGTCAGATGAGATGACCCAGGCCTCCTGACACTGGAGCTGGGGGCCCATTCACAAGGCCGGGCATCCTGCCTACTGTTATTTCCAAACACTTAGTAGCGTCTGCAGCTTCAAGACCCTTGCACCGGCTCACTTTTGATTAAGTTGCTTGTTGTGATGCAAGGGATTTTTGTCTTTTCTATGTTCTAGAAAAACCTGAAACATTTACATATTTTCCTAGGAGCTTTAAATGTCCCAAAATGTGGGCCTCTTAGGCAACCTTGTAATGAGAATTCTGAAGAGCTCCCTGTCAAAAAGCATACTGGGCAAGGCTAAAAATCCAACTGAGGTTGAAAGTGGGGGACTCATCCCCGAAACCAGGTGACTGATATATCTTTTTTAACACTCAGAGATAGTTTTTCTCTGTAGGTGCTGAGAAGCCTTAAAAAAAAAACGGTTGTGGTGAGCTACTTCTTGTGTGATCCTAGTATTTTGAAATCCTGCAGAGACTTGTCAAAAGAAAGTGCTTGGGTCTTCCTGCAGGCCTTCCCCAGGGAAGAAGAAAAGGAATAATCATGAGTCTACCTCCAGGAGGCTGGGGAAAAGGGTAGGGCTGACAGCCCCAGGACACCCTTCAAGGCAAGCCACCACTTTTAGCAAGTCAGGTACTTCTATAAAGTTCCTAAGTAGGGTGACTACATAATATATAACCCAAACCAGGAATGTGAGTGTGGTAGGAGGAGCTATTCATGATTTATTTTTAAATGGCAAATCATTATGTGAGGATAGAAGGCGTAAACAAAGAAGGCGAATGGGGACAGATGACGGATGGCCTTTGCCACCAGGGTTAAGGTCGACAAAGGATGATTTCTACCCGTGGAGCAATAGCTCCCATGTGAGAGGGCTAACACAGGCACAAAGGGGCATAACCCAAGCCTGCCGGGTTATCTGGAGACATCAGAGAAAACATCTCTAGAAGAACTAAAAGAGAAAGAACACAGTGAGATAGAGGTGTGCGCACCCAAGCCTGGATTTGGGGGGGGGGGCTTAACATGTGGTAGTAAAACAGTCAAGCAGAGGCCATCAAGTATAGAGACTACGGGGGTCCGGTGCCTCTGTAAGATGCTCAGGGAAAGGTAGAGTCAATTTGATACAGCCACAGTAGACCAAGGCAAGAATGACAAGGAGACCCTGAGACAGGCTGGGCTTGGCTCTAATTGCCAGACTGCAAAGAGGACAAGCTGTCCGCTGTTTCTCAGCATAGTTGACCAAACTGACTTTCGCTGCCCAGAGTGTGTTTTGTGACCAGGTCCATGGTCTTCTCCATCAGAAAGGGAGTCTCATCTTAAGAAGACATCAGCACTTCTGGTTTCTAAAAGCACTTTCTCTAGTCACTGGAGAAGTAGGTTTGGACCTTCACAGGAAGTACCTTCTTGGCAGTTCAACAAGGCCAGAAAACTGAAGGGGGGTGGCTTTTAGGGGCTCTCCCCTTTTTTGATAGTTCACCTTTGAAGCAGCTTGTTTTTCAGGACTTGCATACAAGTCCAGAGTCCCTGCAGACCTTGGGGCTTTCAGAGGCCTGAAGGTCATAGGATCAAAGAGGGACTTTCTCCTCTGGTCCTTAAGACCTCACTGTTGGTGAGGTAGGCTAGAAGAGAGTAAACAGGAATTAAAGAGCAGAGAAACGACTGACTGACGGCTGTGACAAACTCCTATCAGCCAGGTCCAGTATACGAAGAACAACAAACCTTCCAGCCAGTTCTCAGAAAGGACAGAGGGGAAGAGGGGACTGAAGAGTAGCAGGGAAGGGTAGGAGTAGAAGAGTGCTGCAGGGCTTCACTAGAACTTTCTTTACACCCCCCCTCCAGCTTTACCCCCCCCTTATTATTTCCTCACAACCCAGGAAAATGAGTCTGACACTGTGTGGTAGAGAAGGGCAGCAGGGTGACATCTCCACAGATGCTGCAACTTGGCCCTGCAGGGTTTCTGGGCCTTTGAAAGGCCACTTGTAAACTCTTGGTGCCGAGCAGAGGCAGCCAGGAGGAGCTGGGGTGCGGACAGGGGGACACTGGTCTGCCTTCAGTGCCTAGAAATCAAAGCAGCCAACCTTAGGCTTTTTCTTCCCTTCATACTGAGGCACTTTTATTGGCGAGATGAAGGGAGGCAGAGAGGGCCTACAGCCCTCGCTTCGCTTTTGGAGGTTAATGACCCAGTTAGCAGCTCTTGGCTGAGTTTCCGACATTTTGCAGACATCAAGCCCCGCGCCTCTGCCAAGTACATTCTGTTCCCTGGAGCTCGTCCAATGCATCTCAGATTACTATGTAATGCGACAAAGAGGGAGAGGTGGCTGGGCGGGGCCCGGAGAGCTGGGCGGGGTGAGCGGGCGGTAGCAGAGAGGGCGGGACGCAGAAGCCGGCTGGCGGGGAAGGGGATGCTACTCTAATAGAGCTGCTTCCCGGGAGTTGCATCCCTCGAGGGGCTTCTTAGCGAGAGAGTGAGCCCAAGGGGAGGGTGGACAGGCCCTGTCCTCCAGGAATCCTGTCCCGCAGAGCCCCGCAAGCTCCGGGATGCAGGTGGGGGTAGGGAGCGGCACCCGGAGACGGGGCGGGACGGCCCGAGGAGGAATCCAAGAGGAGGGCTTAGGAGTTCGGCTCCTCCCTCGAGGCTGCCCCACTCCCACCCCAGCAGCTCCAGGGGTGAGCAGCCTGCGAGCTAATTATAGACCTGAATGGAAAGCGGCGTTTTTGAATGATCTTGTTGCTCCCACTGCCTTTCGAGGCTGAGGAGCAGGTGCGGCCCTGCTAGATACAAAGTGATTCATTTAAAAGCCCTCTGTCACGCACGTTCACTTACTGACACACAGGAATCCTTGTGCGCTCCCCCACCCGGAGGATTCCAGAACTGGCTTGAAAGGACTTGAGCCCAGGAACGCAGGATAGAGATCAGGAGACTTTTCAAATCTCTTCACCACTCTTTAGTAATCTCACCGAGTAGATGAGACTGTCCCAGACTTTCTCGGAATGATTTAGGAGGATCTCTTTTACATTTTACAGCTGGAGAAACGAAGCAGGGAAATGCCCTGGGAGACCCTGGGAGTCAGTGTGAGGCTTGAGGTCCTGCCAGCCCCTTTCTCTGCCTGACCAGATTGGAACCTGAAGTCTCCAGATCCGAAACTCTGCCATGTAAGAACACCCCTCCTCCTTTTGTGTGACACCTACCTGTTGTGCCCAGGTCACACTACTAATCCATCTGAAACCAGCCAGCAGTTAGCAGATCTGGGAATAGGCAATACTAGAAACTGCCCATGTTCGTGTGTGTTATGTGTGAGTTAATCTGATATGGCTCTGTCAGCACAAACCCCCTATGAGGAACTGCGGGGGGGGGGAGCGTAAAGCATAAACGTTCTTCCCTGTCAGCATCTTACACCCACCTGGGGTTCATACTCGCAGTTAGCCAAGACTTTTCCTGACTAGGATGACCTACTCTAGTCTGCATAAGCACCATCAAGTCTTGTTCCCATTTGATGGAGCCCTCACAGAAATGGAGACTTGGAGGGAGGAACTGAGTAGCTCATGGTCATCTGACAATGAGTGTCTATGCAGAGAGCCAAAAACAGGCCTGACTGGAACCCGAGAGGAAGTCAACACATTTCTTTCTTAGATCAAATCATAAGCTCACTAAGTCACACAGAAAGACTGCAGCAAGCAACCTGAGTATTTGCTCTCTGGCTCCCGGCCTCTCCCTGGAGGTCTGCCATATATCCCCATCTCCCGTTTTTGTGCACATTGGATAAAGAAGCAGCCTTGAGTGGCGTGCCTAAAGAAGCAGCAACTTTTTTATTATGTATTATTTTTATTATTATTTATCACTTTATTTTTATTTATTATCACTTATTATTTTAAGTGTGTCTCACTTGCTTCTTGGAAGACAGTTCTGTCTCTTAGGCTTCGGAAGTACCCACCCTCCCCAACATCCACTGGGTTCAGCTGAATCCTTTGAACATAGTAAATGCAGAAATACAATCACAAAACTCTCACGCGACTATGCAATATTGTCTGTACCTAAGCTGGCAGTCGTCGCGTTTGCATGAAAACAGAAGAATGTGAGCTTTCACTTACCAGCCCCGGTTCGATTCTGAACTGTGTAGTATGCATTTAGTCTGTATAGGTCTCTGTTTTGTTCTCTGCAAAAATGGACATAACCACGGCTTACTGAGGCAGTGCTGCAGGGCTGACTCAGGAAGGAACACAGTGCTCAGAAAGTCTCTTCAACCAGACTACCTAATTGAGAATCTGAATTCTAATTTTTGCCTTGGATGCATTTTTAAGGTTTTATGTATCTCAATTTCACCAAGTATAAGAGGATAACAATAGTTCACACTTTATAATTATGTGGATGAAATGAGTTTAAATGTAAAGGGTTGAAAGATATTCCTGGCACGTAGCTAAGTGTTCAGTAGAATGAAGATGGGGCATATATATAGGGACTTCCTAGAATAATGCCTATCAGACAGTCCACACTCACTGAATAGCCACTGTATGTTTTTCTCATTTTTAGAATGGAATTCTCCCAGGATTAAATTTGAATACTATGTATGAAGAACTTGTAGGGCTCTGTAAGACGGCTCACAATCTACAATATTAAATTTGTTGCTAGTTCACTGATCTGGTAAACATTCTATATTAACTATGTGTGATCAAACTTGATGTATAGAGGTAATAACGCCCATGCCTTCAAGGGAAGGATAAGTAAGTAAGGACTTGCTGTGAATGCACAAATATCTAATACCGGGGGAAACTGATGCTCACGTCAGTTAGCACAAAACACCAAGTGTCATAAAGCGTCAGGAAGCACAGCAGATGCCTGTAGGTGGGATAAGAATTCAGGGATAAATGCAGTTATGATGGGAAGAACACAATGCATCCCGGAGGAATTATCAAGAGCCAGACACTCAGAGATGACAACAATTCCCAGTTAAAAGACAGGAAAAAAATAAAAAAGGATCCACCTAGGAAAGGGAAGGGCATGTTCACGTTCACCACTACAAGACTGCCTGTGTTCAGAGAACAATGGTCCAATTGGAGAAGGGGCAAAAGTAAAGACAACAGACTAAAGAGGGAAAACCAGGAGGCCAACTTCTGCAGGGAGACTAGGGCAAACCAGGAGAGTCCCGTGGGTTCCAACGAGGATAAGGAGGCAATATTCTGAGGGCAGCCTCGTGTTCAAGCTAAACAATTGCCTGTAGTAAAAATGGAGGTGACATGGAGGAGGGCTCCTCCGAGACCAGAGCTGATGTGGCAAGGACTACAGTGGGCTCCTGCTGCTCCATAGCATCTTAATTTTCACAGTTGGTGTGTACTTTCACGTGCCATCTTTTACACTGGCCTGTGAGCTCCGTGCAATGTGGAAATGGGATCTCCTCTGGCTAACACACTTTGAGCATACCGCAGTAACTCGAGCTAATGAAAACTCCCAGGTCCCAAGGCTTACAGGACAATTGAAATGATCCAGAAAGTAAGTTGCCCTAGACACAATTTAAAATTGATTTAAAAGGAGTGCAGAATGTATCATAGGACCATTCAAGTTCTCCCATCCTTACTCCTGTGTGTGTATGCCAACCCCTTCAAAACAGCAAAACAAAATCAGAAAGCGGGATGGAGAAAAATAGAACGTGAAACTTAAATCAGAAATAAAATACCTTCCATGCTCCTCCATCCTTCCGTCTTTAATCAACTGGGTTCAGTCCTTCTTTGATTAAGAAATAAAAAATGAAAGTAAGGAAGTGAAAGAGAAGAGATGGAACGTTCTGGAGAAAGCTCCCAACTTAGGCAAGCAGTTTTTTTTTTATTGTTTTCTAAAGGCCTCTCTTAACTGGATCCCTTCCCAGCTCAAGTTGGGGAATATAAAAGAAATCCAACTGGTTTCAGTCACTAAGGATTGCAAGCAACTGAAGAAGCTTTGCTGGCGGTCTTCTTCCGTCCTTTTAAAACTGTCAGTGGCATCGCCTTCTTCATTGCCCTGGGGGAGGCAGTTTGGTGCTGTACTTTTCCAACAGAGGGACTCAAGATGCCAGCAGCGGGAGTAACAGCACCAAGAAGTTGTGGGATCCAACCCCTTCCTGCAAGAAGAGGAAACAGAAAAAGGAGAGAAGAAACAATGTGTCCAAGTCCACCCAGCTCACTAGTGGTTGAGAAGGGGACCTGAGACTGAGTTTCAGGGTTAGTGCTCTTTCCACGTACTGCGTTGCTTCGAAAGGGAACTCATTTTGCAGGAAAGGGAGGAGCCTTGATAGAAACAGGCCTGGATTGAAATCCAGTTCTAATGTGTCCATGCTTTTAGCTTTTAGAGGGAACCCAGGTCTTCTGTAATAGCAACAGCCATCAGTGGAGAGCAGATACTTACTGCCAGGCCCGGAAGCAGGAGAAACTAGTCCTAGACAGTTAAACAGCAAACAGTTGAGCCGGGGTGTGCCCAAGTTCACTTCACTCTGAAGTCTGTGTTCTTCCATGTATCACACTGCTTCTGTATTCCTCTGCTTCTCATCTATGGAATATAAAAAGGACGTGTCCTTTTAGAATAAAACATGTAGGCATGATCGTGCGTGCCTGCAATCCCAGCATTTGGGAGGTGGGGGCAGGAGGATGAGAAGCTTCACATCATCTTCTACTTCATAGCAAGTCTGGACTCCAAGAACAGAAATGAACAGAATAAAATGCATTTAGCACTACACTTGACACATAGTAGGTGCTATATAAACTGCAAATATTATTTTATAGAAGAAAATTTGAATGTGTTGTGTTTTTTTTAGATCTCACCATCTCCATTATGTAACTCAAGAACAGTAGACATTGTCAATCATCTTCACTGTACGTCTCTGCCCCACCCTTCAAGTCCCAGATGTCTCTGCCATGCTTTCCTCTCTCCAAGGGCTGGCTTCCAGCCATGGAGATTTCCGACAGAATAGGTGAGACAGGATGGGGATTGACCCCTTTTGTGTGGGAATGCTGAACCAAATAGTTCAGACCCAACAAGAACCACTACAGCCACTAACAAATCCAGTCTGGAGCCTGGTAGGCCATCCAAGCCAGGGACCAGGGCACATGAGCTGGCATTGGAAATACCCAAGGCAGGCAGCTTATGAAGAGTTGAGTCATAGGAGCAGGGTCCAATCTATTTCTAGCAAAGATAGACCAGACTTAAGCTAGGAGGATAAGACTGCCTAGGTAGGTCACCAGGAAAAGAATGTAAAAACCAGGCTTAGAGCAAAATCCAGGTAGAAAGAATGGAGATTACACCAAATCTAAGGGTTCAGAACAGGATAGATGTGTCTTTTATTCTCCTCTGATTACAAAAGCCAGTAAGTACCATGAAAAAGTTGCTTATGGATACAGTAGGTTGGAAAAAAATACAAAATCATTCATAGGAATGATGTCACCATATTCAGGGAAGTTGTCTACTGTGAAGATGTTTGGGGGTACAAAGAAGAGGATAAGGAACTGGAAAGTGGGGACTTTGACTATGTGTGATATGCTTGATTTCCTTTAGGAAAATGGAGATCTGAGGCAAATAAGAGCATCTGCTCTTCCTGATGATAAATACATGACATCTGTTATAGCCTCTCTGTATGATTACTATTTAATAATTTAAAATAAAGACATAAAAGTAGTAAATATTTAAAATCTAATACATTTTATTAATATCTGTCACTGTAGAAAAATCTGGGAATTTAATGAATAAAAACATAGGGAAATAATGTGTTTTAAGCGCTACAATGTTGGCTAACTTGTATGGTATTTCCAAGCACGGGAACAGGTCTGACTCCAGTAGGACCTTGGCAATGAGTTTGTATGCTGATGCCCACACATATGTGGGAGGAAGTTTTCTCAATTCTTTCAGTCATTTGGCCATTCATCTGTAGCTGACCTGTCTGGCCACAAAGTCCCATCTCATTTTGATTTAGGAATGGGATTTTGCTCTCATACTTATTTACATACTTACACACACACACACACACACACACACACCTTGGTAACAATCAAAGCTAATGCTGCAAAACTCTACACAATAAAATTTATTGATGACAGACTAACAAGGCTCCAGCAGCACCATCAACCAGGGGACCTAGTGGCATTTATAGAAACTACCCAACAGCAGCAGCACCCATCCTTTCCAAGCCTACGTTACACATTCACCAGGAGAAACTATCCTGAGCCACAGAGGTTGTGTCTCGGTTGAAGCAGAGCCCCTCAGATCCTCACTCAGAAATAAGTTTCACTGTATAGAAACGTTTGGAAACATCTTGCCTCTGACTTCAATGTGACAGGAAAGAAGGCTGCATTGTTCAATGATAACAGAAACTCATCAATATGGCTAGTGGCCAACCCATTTGGCCAGGAGGAAGAAGAGAAATAAAGCATAAACATGAGAGCCCGAGAAGAGCATTCTGGGACCATGTAGTCACAGGAGAAACAGCATCAAGTTCAGACATGCCTGGGAGAATCTTGCAATCTATGCTGTCCAGAGAGAGGCTTAGCCGAGAGAGAAAGGCGTCAGAGGCATCAGCTGAAGGCGGTTCTGCCTGCAACTTACCCACAAGAGACTGTGTGTGAGGCCTTTTCGCTTCCCCTTCCTGGGGCCTGACTTCCTCTTGGGCAAAACTGAGTCACTAGAATCTAGTAACTAGATCTCCAAGATAATTTCCATTTCTACCTTCCTGAGACTATTTTTGTGTGCCTTCTAGTTGTCTGGGTTTTCAAAGGGTACCAGACATCAGAGGCCTACATGAACTGAACTATTTTTCCCCACAGTCCTGAATATATTCAGACAAATCCCTAAGGGTTCCACGAGGACATATTTACAAACAGCTTCCAATAAGCAATAAACTGACAGAATAAGCCTTGCAAGAGAAATCCTCTATACCAGACAATTTAATTCTGAACAATAGACCACATGAGGGTGTATAAATAACTAATTATACTACACAACATTAACAGTTTTTTTTGGATGATTGCAAAATGGGAGGAAGGAAATGAAATGGTATTTATATATTTGGGCTTCAGTCAAAGATTTCATATTCACTCTTAAGCAATTTTGCATACAAAATTAGCTCAGACTAGAACATGGTCAAACAACTCAAAACTGGCAGCAATCTGTTAGCCTGGGGGAGAGTTTGTGTCCAAGCATTCAGGGCAATAGAATGGTGGGTTGACTGTGTTTTCCTGCAGTTCCCATGGGATGCTCTGTGGGTGGTACCTTGGTCCTTGCAGTGATGTACAGAGAAGACACCAGTAGAGACTTACACAACATCTTCCAGGATGAAGTCCAGCTTCCTTTGGTATACACTCTGTCATATGCAATTCCATCCTTTCTCCTGGGTTTCTACTGTCATCCATGGCTATGTCAAGACTTGCAAGTGCAGAAACTGTTCATGTGTCACTGCATGCCCTGCTACAACTTCAAGTGTACATTCAAGGTGCTTAGAATTCATTGTTGGGTCAATTAATGAAATGAAGAAGTTATGGTTTTACCCAGATACATTCCTTGGCCTAAAGGATGACAGATTACCACAAAGGGTGTCTTGTACATATCTTTACTGAGATGCAAGGCTCTTTAAGCACAGAGGACAGAGAAATTAATTTTAACCCTGGTGATTGTCAAGGGCCTTTGCTTCCCATGTGCCTCTGCATACCCCATTCTCTCATGCCCAGTTGCTCTTTGAGTCCTATGCATAGTAGATACAGGCAAAATAGCTACGAAGACATGCGTGGTCTACTGCAGTAGCAATTTTAAACAAATGAATATATTAATACTGAGTTGTGCAGTGTGTTTTGAAGAAAAGGAATATGATATTGTAAGTTAAGATGAGTCAAGAGCAAGGAGGAAAGGAAGATATGAACTTACATCTAGGGACTTAGGGATGACCTCTTTGAAAGTGACATAAAAATGAATAGGGTCCAGCTATGATCGTTAGGGGTATATTGTAAGTATTTTGCATTTATTGAATAAATGAATACATCTTTATAAATTAAGTAATACTTAAGAAGAACCTTGAAGATTCTGAAAGAAGAGTTATGGGGGAAGAGGAACCCAGGAGGACAGAACAACTAAACCAGAAGCAATGGGGGAAAAAAAACACAGTACAACTAGAAGCCACTGGGTTTCTCAGTGTGTACCCCAAATGGCATGCCAAGGGGCAGCAGTGGCGACTACCCATGGGTCCTGAGAAGAGTGCGATGAACAGAACTGCCTTGCAGAAAGGCATCCCTAGAAACTTTATAAGGGACTTCTGGGTGGGAAAGCAAAGTGGAGAAAATCTAAGAGTTTGCAGGTTGCAAAGGTGGCCCAGGGTCAGATAGGGAAGCTGCGGTGCAACAAAATGGTATCACTGCAGAATGACCAAACATTGTGTGGGAGGGGGAAGGAAAAGGGGGGATTCAGCAATACAGCTTATGGTTTTTGTCTGGGAAGGAAGGTATGTGAGGAAGGAGAAGATCTTGATAAAGAATACAAACACCACCGAAGAAAGAAGGCTTCAGGGTGGAAGAGAGCATGCCAGAGACATCTGATACTTGAGGTGCTGCAGAACCACTAGTGCGAACTACCTAAGGCAGAAGCAGAGTCCCCAAAATACCCCAGGCCAAACTCTTCTACAGTTTTCCAGCACAGAAACTCAACTTGAACCTGAAGACTAATTCTAGAACTCTTCAAGCTTCTGAGCCCCTGCACCTGCTGGAACATGGGTAGCAGAGACAAACTTTGTATAGTACTAGACTGCCGTGACAACCATAAACATTGCTATTGGGTCACCATCACAATCTGGTCACCACTGATGCATCAGTTCCCTAACTTTGAATACATTTCCAATCGTCCTCCTACTGTGCCCATCCTCCTGCTGCATGAAACTTGAGCTAACTCTCTCCCGCTTCATACCCGCAAATAGCCAAAACTAAGGTCCCCTTGCTCTATTGAACCTTGCAACCAGATTTAAAAAGCAGTGAAACGTGGAGGGAGGGGTTTCACACACAGATCTAGGGCGGGAAATGCCGCAAATGTAGAAACCCCAGCTTTGATGGATAGAAAAAAGGCATGTCTAAGTGTTTCTGAACATAGTTAATGAGGGCCCCGAGCCAAGCCTGCTATGGAAGATTACTCAAGATAAAGGGTTAGTTGGCTATGGCAATCAACAGAGGGAACATTGTTCCTCAGCAGCCATCTAGTCAGGAGTGAGAACAGATGAGGCCAGAGTGATATAGCCATACTCAGCTCTCAGTTTTCCTAGAAAGCAAAAACAAAGGCAGGATATGGACTCAGCCGCCTGCTTCCTTGGGAGCTCTGCAGCAGAACTGGCCCCTCACACAGGCCAAGAATGAAGCTACTAGGAAGAGCACAGGGTCAGAAGTTCCTAGAAGCACTTCCTATTTGAAGCACAGGGTAGAGCCGAGTCTGAGGTCAAATGCAAAGTGATTTTAACTCTGACCTACACACACTCATCCCCTTGAAGCACTTAACTACTTTGGGGTGACTATAGACTGTGCAGCCACAGCAAGCAGGGCAGGCAAGCCTTTAGTTCCTTTAAGCTGACAAAGGGTATCTGAAGCTTTCTCTTTTTGGTGAGTTTGTTCGCTTGTTTTGAGAACAGGGGCTCTGGAGCCCAGGCTGGTCTCAAACTCACCATGTAGCCATGGCTGGCCTTGAACATCCTATGTCTCTTAGTTCCACTTCTGAAGTATGAAATTCCAAGCGTGTACCACTGTGCCTGGCGACAGTTTGATATTGTAAGACAAGCAGTCCCAGAACAGACCATGTCACTTGCCAACACTTCTGAAAGATGCACATTGTTTTCTTTTTACTTTCAAAGTTGTTTGCCTGGTGTGTTTCTTGCTTTGTTTTAAAACATGGCTGTGTGATCCAGGCTGGCCTTAATCTGAGAATCCTCCCACCAGAGTCTCCTAGCTGTGGGAATTACAGGCATGTGCTGCCACACTGGGTATTTACTTTGTTTCTGATGTTGTTATTCTCTTGTTTTCTTTTGTTTATTTTTTTCTAGACAGGGTTTCTCTGTGTAGCCCTGGCTGTCCTAGAACTCCCTCTGTAGACCAGGCTGACCTTGAACTTGGAGATCCTTTTGTCTCTACCTCCTGAGACCTGGGATTAAAGGTGTGCACCACCACCACCCAGCTTGATATTCTTTTCATGTTCAAGATGGCAACAGTGAATGAGAAAAGGCCCAAATTCTAAACTGGCCCCGGGCCTTGGTCAGGTATCAAAATGAGGGGTGGTCCTCAGGTATCTTATGAAATAGATATATAGATAGATAGATTATATATATGAATATATATATTTGTATATGCATATCTTAAGGGCTTTGTGACTAATATGCCCTCTACAGTCTAGGAGTGAAGCCTTCACTGACTAAGCCTGTCAGGCACACATTTTCTTCAGCCCCTGTCACTGCTCCATTTCCCAGAGGACCATGAAGCAGCTGGTAAAATGCTATTGCTTCCACTTCTGATTTCTACTGTCTGTGTCTGTCTCCATCGACAGTGAACTAACCGTGAATCATATCTGCGGGGCACAAGGCAATTCGGCACTGCCAGTCTGGGAAAGCTGCTTGTGGTAGAGTAAACACAACAGAAAGACATTGTGGATTTAGCTCTTCATTAATAATCCATCAGAAGGCAGAGCCAAACAGATAGAGAAAACTGGATCAACCCGCCTCATCTAGAATGTTCTCAGTACAAGGGAGTTCTTTATAACACATAGGAATTTGGGGCTCCGTCTTCCTAGTTTCTCAGCAAGGTCACCAAACTTTTCACATTCTCCTTCTCAATCTCCTATGGCTAATAATGATAACTTATGAAAAGGTATTAATATTAATTTAAACTCTAAAAGTATCATAGAGTAAGCCCTTAAACATACTTGGACTCTCCTTCATCCAGAGCCAGAGAAACAAAATAATAATAGTTGATAATAGCAGCAGTAATGAATGTTATCTGCACAGGGTGAATGCTCTTTACGTAGACATTGTTCTAAGAGCTTTGCCTGCATTAACTTTTTAAGTCTTCTCAACGAGACAGACCAGTGTTTCCATCCCCACATTACAGGGCTCAGCCCAGGTCATCTGCCAATGAAGTGTAGTCACCCACCAGACAGCAGTGTGGCGGTGACTGTGGGCATTAACTCATAAAGGCTTTCAGTTTTATATCCTGAAGTCCGTCACAAAGGCTTTTATCCCCTTCTTACCGTGGAATGACTTCCTAGAAAACACTCACTTTTGTAATATGGTAAAAGTTATTTCCTGTCATTGAGTATGATTCAACTTCCTATAATCTTGGTAGTTGAATGTTAGCTTTCCCCTACCTAAGCTGCCCTTGATAGCCCTTATACATCACATAGTTCTTTATGCTCCAAGAGGAAATGCCATAGATAGGCACGGAAGTTAAAATTCACAGTGACAGATTTGATTTCATTGAATAAGTATGGGGAAATAAGAAGTTATTTGGGGCCGGGCGGTGGTGGCGCCCGCCTTTAATCCTAGCACTCGGGAGGCAGAGGCAGGCGGACCTCTGTGAGTTCCAGGCTGGGCTGGACCGACAGCCTCCAAAACAATACAGAGAAACCCTGTCTCGTAAAAACCAAAAAAAAAAGAAGTTACTTGGGCATTTCCAAAAGAAGGCCAGGGCCTGGTGAGATGGCTCAGATGGCAAAGGCACTTACTGACTAGCCTGACAACTGAAAACGGAGTTCCACCACCAGCATACACATGGTGGAATGGGAGAACTGACTCCCACAGATTATCCTCTGATCTTCACATGTGTGTGGGGTGCGCACACACACACACACACACACACACACAGGATGGATAGACAAATGGATGGATGGATGAATTTTTTTTATAAAACAGAAGGTCAGAACTGGTTCTGGGAAGGTTCATGTCTGTCTGTTCTGGAAGCCTATGACTAGACTTTGCTCCCCAAGTCACCCATGTGTGGAACAGAAAAGGGAAGTACCTCATGTATATTTGCTTTTCTCCCATAGGCAGATCTGATCTCTGCTGACCCCTGCAGCGGCACTACAGTCTACAGAACTAAACCAGCCTCACTGGGCTTCAGTCCTTCCAGTCTGGCTGATGCTAGCCCTCTTCTTCCTTGGTCTTTTACATCAGCCTTTTCCTCTTCCTTCTATGTATGGCAAATGCCCCACTGCAGGGAGAGGGGTCTCCAGCAATCTATTAAGTCTTCAGGACTTTGATTTAGCTGGACTTTCTCCAGTTGTGTATCCCAGATAGCCCAGCTTCATAATTACCCTTTTCTTTATGAGTTGTCTATACCCCACAAAATAATCTTTATAACTTAGAACCTGGTCCCTGATAATCTTCTATAAATTTTATGTCTATCTGTCTGTAACAGCAAAGTGCATACCTAACTTGTACAGTGAAGGTCATGTTAATTTCTGAGCAGTCCTAGAAGACACTGTCACTTAATCTTGGGTTGCTTGGATTGCGTTCTTATACATCAGGGGAAAGGTATTTTTGGGTCTCTGTTTTGACTTTAATCCTACTCCAAAGACTAAGCCAGCCAACAAACTTCTTTCACAGTTTGACTCTGTGGTAGCACAAACTCTGAGAGCCAGGAGGGAAATTCAGCCACAAGCATTTCAAGATATAACTAAAGAATTTGTCCCACCAAAAAGCATGACTATGAGTTTTTTATTATCCAGCATATGAATAAGAATTGTTATAGTGATTAATTAATATCAGGAATCATTTACTTTTAGAAAAGAAAATTAATAAGGCACAATGAAAACATAGAATCTCATTCAGGCATTCTTTACATATACTCTCATAATAACTTTATGATCCTTTATAGTTGATAGATATCTTTATAGTTTACTGTTTATATTTACACAGAAGATAGACTCATCACTAATTTACAAAGAAGAAAACCAAGGTCTAGTGAAGAAATGATTGGTGATTAAGCACTGCATCTCATTCTCAGACCCAGGACCTCTGACTCCATCCCAAATTATCTTCTTCTATACATTGCTAATGGGCTTAGGAACCTGCTGGGTGGAGTCTCCCAGAAGAACAGTTTCCTCCTTGGACTCATTTTGTCATTAGCCTGTGGCTGCCTTAGCTACACTTGACCAACCACTTCTTAGTTTTCTTAGTGCTGAAGAGTCATGGCTACAGCTCGATCCAGTGTCTGGAACCTTCCAGACTTCTCAAGACATTCCAAAGACTCGCTCTCAATATTTTAACCGCTTCCTCTGCCTTAAAAAAATACCCTGTTTTGTCTCACCATCTCCTCCCTCTCACCTGAGTCCTTTCTGAGAGAGTGCCTTGTGGATTCTAGATGAAATTAGTTAGATAGCCGGATTCACAGGCCAAGCTGCTCTAAGGGAACTGAACACTCATCTGTTTCAGTTGAGCTTTAATTGACTGCAGACGTTGCCAATTCTTCCAAGCCAGCTAGGGACATGGAAGGGGGAACATACATACGTACAGTTGTGACAAGCATACAGAATAGGAAATAATAGAAAGTATACTGCTTAGAGTGATGGAGACAATTACAGTGAAATCTAGGACAAGAATTGTTGACAAGTCTTCCCTCTGAGGTAGTGAGAAGGGCTGGAACTGGGAAACCGACACGGGCTCATGACTTCTGGACTATTTGACTTTGTGTCCACTGAATTCAAACCGAAGTCTTCGTTTATCCTTTCTGCCTGAAAATGCTACCCACTGCAGAGCACAAAGCTAATATGTCTGGTCTGCACCTGTTTCTTATCATATATCTGTGGATTATTGTAATAAAATTGAAGCAGTAAAAGCTTTGCAAATGGGGTTTGCCTGTGTGGCATCTGGGCTGCATAAGCAAAGGATGCAAGTCTCTGCCAATAGGCTTCCCCACCATTCTCCAAACTGTAGCCTAGGACCATCCAGGTAAAAGTGGAAGAAACTCCCAGAGTGCAATTGGCAGGGAAACCCATTCAGCCTCCACTCAGTACTGTCTTTCAGAATGATTTCCTGGATTCCCTCTCCATCAATTCTCTCTTGAACCTGTTCCTGGAGTACAGGGAAAAACCTCACCACATCACATGTCCCCTTGGCCAGTTGAGTCTCAGGTCCTCAGATGCTGGGTGACACTGCTCACTGAAGAGGGTGGAGGAAGAGTCACCGAAGTGGGGGAGAAAGAGTCATGGAAGTCTACTCCAAATGGTACCTGTGTGACTATGGATTCCTGTTATGAGATACAATGACAACCACACTGAAGACATCACAATTGCAGCAAAGTTCACACTCAGTTTTTAAGCTTCAGTCGAAAGAAAAGAAGCAGCAAACATTGGATAAAGCAAGGTGAAGTGTGCTGTGGGCCTGCCTCTGTTGCCAGGTGACCAGGGTCACCAAACAAGGCACTTCTCTGGACCCCAGGCTGCTCTTCCATGACAGTAAAACTGACCGTGTCTTGCCAGCTATGTAGAATTCTTGTAAGGCTAGAAGGAGATCAAGGAGGTGGAACAGACTTAAATTATCTATGGCTCTATATTCGGAGCAATTTTTGCTATCATGCATTGGGTTGGAAAGACAGGCAGAGATTGTTTTTTGCTCCTTTGTCTGGAACTTTGAATCAGAAAGCAGCTAACTCAGCAGCTTCGGGGCACACCTACGGGAGAAATCCTGGCTTCCTGCCTCTTGTCCTAGTTGTAAGAAACCCAGCATATTGCTCTAGAATAGAGCTCATCATATAGCTGTGATCTGGAAAGCAAAGCCAGAGGGCCATGCGCCACTCTCCACAGCTGCCTCCCTTGGGACCTAAGGGCCTTTCAAACCCCGGCTTTCTCCTCAGGCCTGACCTTCAGAAGTGGGCTCAGAAAGGAGGCACTCAGGGCTAGCTGCTTCTGGGAAGCGCTACTGGCATCTAGCTGAACCTAGCTGACTGTTAGGGGAAGTGTTCGCACTGCAATTTGAAAATGAAGCCTGGGTTGTGAGAGGAGAAGTACATGTTCCAAGGTCCAGAACTCCTGTGTAAACTCATGGTGCTCGTGGATACCGAATGTGAGATCTTGCATGACGATGTTAAGAACTGAGCTCTAGACTAAGCTGGGCCAGAGGGTGTAGGTCTACCAACCTTCACTCTCACTCTCTAAGGTATTTACTCCCCAGTGAGGTTTTACAACTCTCTCTCTCTCTCTCTCTCTCTCTCTCTCTCTCTCTCTCTCTCTCTCTCTCTCTGTCTGTCTCTCTCTGTCTCTTTCTCTCTGTGTGTGTGTGTGTGTGTGTCTCTCTCTCCCCTTCCCCCCTGTGTAGCAGTGGTGGTTGCTTGAATAGAGATTCTAACAGGTTTTGCCTTCTCCCATGTACTCTTAGCTAGTCTACTCCAGAGCACTTCTGTGGGGGCCTGCAATACCCAGGATGAATCTTCACAATCCCCCATAATAAAACTCTTCCAACAGTACCACACCTACCTCTAATCTCAGCCTTGCGGAAGACCATGGGTGCATTCTTTGGACAATTATGGTAGGTCCCGGAAGGGATGGCCTCTTGGTATATGGTAAGGATGGGTGATAGAAGAACGGGTCATCAGGCAGAAGAGAACATCTAGACCCTCAGAAACTGTGTGGGCTATCTTTCAGAGTCCTTTTGCTATCTACCCGAGAGCTTCAAGAATGAGGAATACTGGTCCCAGTGTCCCCAAATAAAGAATTTTCAGTGTTAGGATCTATACCCCAAATGGGTGTTTCTAGTGAAGCATACTCCTCTTTGATTGATGGAAGCAGATGTGGGCCTAACTTGTATCTTCACTCTGGATTCCCCAGGTAGTTCCACCTCTTAACAACAGTGTATCAGGACCACCACCCAGTCTTGTTCCAACTCTGAGCTTCAGGGACCTTCATAAGTTCACAGTCCTCCCTGGCTCTCCAACTGTGGCTTGGGGGACTCCTGGTGTGAGCCCTGGGAAGTCAGGCCCTTTGGCTGTAAGACATTTAGGCCCAAAGGCTAGCCATTTCTGGCCTGTATTAGTCACAGGGCTGGAGCCCATTTTCTGTGACCAGTTACTGCTGGGAAAAGGGTCTGGAAGGGTTTCCCAGTCTAGGCTGCCCTGGAGGAGGAAATACAGACTACTGCCTAACCCACTTTTATGCAAGTCTCTTTCAGAAAAAAAGCTCTTGGCCTCCCCTGGCCTCTGGCAGCAGCCGGGGGGATGTAATTCTGGCACCTGCCCTTCTGAGTGCAGCAGGGCAGGCAAGCATCCTCTTGGGTTTGTATGTGCTGAGTCTACAGCGACTCTGTAGCTGGATTTGTCCCTCAGCAGGGTGACAGCCACAGTCTTGGGGGGAAAAAGGAAAGGAAGAGAAAAGAAAAAGACCAGCATAGAAGTTTATGTCTCAGAGTTTGAGACGTCCTGGAGCATTCTTGGCAAGTGGTGGTTTGGCAGGGGGAAAAAATATGGATTTTGTAGCATCCATGGAAAAGGAAAAGTTTCAGATATCCCTGAAACATGACTGGACTTGGCTAGACACCTACAGTCTATGGAAACAGAGCAGTGTGTCTCATTTGACCCCTACTGAGTCAGATGACCCTTGCCCAGTGATGTTCTGACAGAGAGTCCAGGAGCTCACATTTGGGAGGACTGTGGGATTGGCTTAGAGCAGCTGTACTACACAGACCTGAAGGACAGCCTGAAACCTCCAAGTGCAGCTAACCTCTTCCACCTCCGTGTCTCTTCTCCAAACACTTGTGCACATGAAAAGCTTGTCAGGGAATCAAGTCTAGACAAAAGGTGGACATAAGAGGTGGGACAAGAATGCCCTCATTGGGTTCTGGGTGATAAACAGAGCCTGCATGGTCAGAACAGTTGAGAACACATTTGAGAGCTTGGGAACAGAGATTCAAGCAGAGACTGGGTACAGTAAGAGCCTAGGAGGAGGCACACATCCTGATACCCTGGCCAGGTGCAGAGACAGGTCAAGTCCTGCTAGGGTAAAGAACAAACATAAACTCTCTCTTTACTTTATATCAGCAAGAAGGCAGGAGCCCAGTCCAGGAGAGCTTATACAGGCACAAACGGGACAGGAGTTATGGCCTCAAATTGAAAGAGAAGAATCACCCCATTGGGGTCAGGCAGTTGGGCTTGCAGTCATACTGAAGGTGATGATTTCCTGGAGTTCTGAACCTCGTGCTTCTAAAGCCCTTTTCCTTGCTGAAAATGAGATTCACTTAGTGCTGAGCCTAAGGCAAGACAAAGCCTTTCTGAGGCCCATAGAGATGAGAAAAGGAGGAAGAAGAAAACCAGGGGATCTCCAGGCACCCCAATTCCTCCCCTGGTTCCCTGCCACCTCCCTGAGTATCAGTTACCCCACGTCATATGTGGTGGCAATGGATCACAGTAGAGGAATCACAGATCTCTGTGAAGCCCAGAGATCCAAACAGGGGGTTCACACGCTCCATGGGAAACTCAGACAGGCAGAACAGAACCTTGATCCACAGTGGCCTAGAGCAGTTCTGTTTTTAAGTTTAGTGTGTTGGGTTTCCCTCTAAGATTTTACTTGGAAGTCTTAGTAAGAGAAAAAAAAATCAAACTGTAAGAAAGGAAGGCAAGGAGAACATCAGGCTGGATCATCTCCAGCCCATTCTAGGCTGCTGTTTTCTGACTCACTCTGGTGTTTTTCTGCCTACCCTTTCAAGAACTGTTTCTCTTCCTTTCTGCCGTCATCTCAAGGAAGAATCCATATGTAAGCCTGAAAAAAACCACTGCCTAACTTTCATTTCTCAGCTCTGAAGAACACTGGGTCACAGAGAAGAAAATTGGGGCTTTTGTGGGCTAAGCAGGGGGGGCTCTGAGGTCTGGGGCTGTAAATCGGGCTTGAGGTTTGGATTCCCAGCAGTGTGACCTTCAGACACCCTACTCTCTTCCCAATACCTTCACACTCACACCCAGGCACAGGGAAGCGTGCCCAGCTCCAAGCTGCCCTTGGAATCCAGGCCCACTCGGAGGAGCTGTTTTGATTTTTTAGGAAAACTACTCATAGCCAAACTTTCCTCCCAAGAACAACACCAGCAGGGATTTCCTGCGTGCTTCAAGGAGGAAGATTCTGGAAGTCTGTTTGCCATTCCCTGTCCCAAAAGACCCATAGATAACATCACCACCTGAAGTAGTGAGTGCCGTTCATAATTTTATTTGTTTTTTCCCTAAATAACTCCCACTGTTGCCAGCCTCTGGACTTCAAGGTATATTTAGACAGCTCTGCTCTCCCATTGCCCACTCCAGGAGGCACATCTCTCAATTACCCACAAAGCCAGGAATACCACAAGCTTGAGGAATTGGCACACCAGAGGAACTGAAGATTTCCTTTGCACTCACACACTTACCCTGTCCAGAGCATGCATCTTTCTCACCCAAAAAGAGTTGACTGTAGCTACCAAAAGTGTGGGATGCTGCCATGAGAGTCAAGGGTGTATGTGACCTCCAGTGAATCACTTCCTATTTCTAGGCTGGTTTAAAGAAAAGGGCTCCTCCAAGCAGGCAGTTCAGGACTAGGACTAGAGAGATGATTCAGTGACTAGGAGCACTGACTGCTCTTCTAGAGGACCTGGGTTCAATTCCTTGCACCCACATGGCAGCTCACAACCATCACAAGGATCTGATCAGGGAGTTCATATTCAGGACTTTCCTTCTTGGCTAAAGGAAACATGGGACATCCCAGTGGAAAATGATTGTGGAGGTCATTAAATATTCCCTGTCCCTCTGCGGTGGTGGCACATGCCTTTAATTCCAGCATCCCAGAACTTGGGAGGCAGAGGCAGGCGGATGGGGAAGCAGAGAGGGGGAGGCATATAAGGACCAACTTAGAAGAAGGTGGAAGGTCTCAGAGCAGTCACCGGGCAGGTATGGATAGGTCAGGTCTTGCAGCCCAGACCTTGGAGTGCAGGTCTGGGAATGGCTCCCAGGAGAGTTGCTATCTAAACTGGGATTTAAAAGCAGTGTGGTTCTCTGACAAAGTGGAGAAAGAACACAGAGGAATATGCAAAGGAGAGAACTGGGGGAATTTCAGAGAGATTCCCCCACTGACTAGACACTGTGGGAAGATGGAAGGGGGAAGAAGCGGGATTCCCCAGGAACTTGTATGTCAGGCTATGGCAGCAGTTCTCAACCTTCCCAATGCTGCTATCCTTTAATACAGTTGCTCATGTTTTGGTGACCCTCCAGCCATAAAATTATTTCTATTGCCATTTCATAACTCTAATTTTGCTACTGTTATGAATTGTAATGTACTGATACTCTTAGGCCCCTGTCAAAAGGTATTTTGACCCGCAACTGAGTCTTGTCCCACAGATTGAGAAGCACTGGGCTTGGGCTTTACACCTTCCCACACCTGAAAGCAATGAAGAACTCCTACAACGGAATCATGTTTGTATTTTAGAACTCTCACTCTGGCTGTGCTTGTGGGACATGATTTTGAGAAGGAAAATAAATGAAATAGAAGGCGGAGAGATCCTTCAGGAGGCAAGAAGCAAGAGGAGACAGTGCCCTGTGTCCAGCACAATGGCAAGAAGAAGAGGAAAGGAAATCCAAGTATGTAGTAGGTGCTGTCACTGAATGAGTTTTTCCCATCTCTAACTTTCTAGGACTCGGCAGCTAAAGAAATCTGAGCAGGCATCTCACCTCCCATTTTTACCCACCCCCCCTCCCACCTCCCACATTCTGTGAAGTCTGGCTGGCCCCTCTTACTCCTCCCCTACTCAGGCAGGAGGCTTAGATAATAGGTGTGGCATCGGGCCCAGGCCTTCCCACCAACTTCTCCACCATCACATTCTGCTGCTTGAGCAGTTGGCTGCCTCTATGAGTGTTAATTGGAGAGACATCTGAAGTGACCAGACTGGTTCTGCAGCCGCCATGATAGACACACTCCATCTGCTCCAACCAGGCGCTTCTCAGCACACAGGGAGGCTGGCCCAATTCGATTCCTTGGGCCCAGGGCTTGTTAGGAGTTACACTCAGAGTTGGATTCCAGGGCTTTGAAGTGCAAACTGCTTAAAAAAAAAAAACCAATGAGTACACAGCCTTTGGCATGGTGTGGAAGAGGATAAGGCCCAGTCTTGTCCTGGGCTAGGCAAAGAACTCACAGCCAAGTTTCTTGACCAATCACCTGCCCCTCAGTGTGCCTGGGGTATGATGCTTGCTACTGAACTTCTGTATCATGAGTTGATCAATTTAGTTTCCTACTCAAACTATCCCTTATCTACCAAGTGACAGTGACTTGATCTTAGAATGTCATTTTCCCCTGAAACTATTCATTTCTTCAGCTTTTTAATTTTAACTTGCTCTAATAAGTAACAGAGAGGACATTAGAAGTCATCTGGTCTAATGGTTCTGGCATGTTTTCCGTTTCGCTTTGCTTAACCTTGCTTTAGCAAGCAGAGCCTTTATCAATTCATAAGACAGAGGCTGGAAAAGGAACTTCTTGGGTGGCCATAACACTAAGTAAGTGACAGCCAGTCAAGAACAAGCTCTTCTAACTTCAAATGCATAGTCTGCCCCAACTGTTCTTACAACTCCACTGACACCCATCCCCCTCTTCTGCCAATAATAGAGACAACCATTAAAAAATAATGGGTATATACTTTTCTTATTTCAAGACCTAAAATCTTCCTGGAGTTTCTTCTATTATGACCTAAACTTGGTTCAGCATGTCCCAGTTACCAACACATATAAATATAACATTTGCTGCAAAGAAATTTCTATATGCCCATTTTACAGAGAAAGGAGAAATAAATAGTCACACAGCCAATAAATAAGAGGGTTGAGACCCACATCTCCATGTTCAGGTGCCTATCCCAGGACCAATGGTCCCTTGAGGATGGCAAGTCGTTCATCCTGGGAACAGTAATGCAGGGTCACATTGTCTTTTGAACTAATACCTAATCATGAATAACAGAGAACCCCTGTTGCTAAGAGCTGCAGCATTTACAAATAACATTGAAACTTTCTTGATTGTAGTTCATCAACAAGGGAGATGAAAGTCATTAAGGAGACTGACTTGGGACTTGCAATTAAGTAGGAGCAAAAGTACTTTGAGGAACTAACAACAAAAGAAAGAGGTCATTCTTTTGAAAGTCACACTCTACTTCCTTAGAGTCTATAGGTTTTAGACCAGCCACGTCAAAAGGATGGAGATATAACTGTGTATGACAAACAATGAAATCTAAAAGGTTCTACAGATTGGATAGCAAGGGATCCCACAGCTGACCCTGGTAGGACCTGGTCACCTTCTGCTCAGAGGCAGATCCTCCATCTTGTGGGAATCAAAAGACCAGCCCTGTGGAAGGCTCAGAACCAGGCCATCCCTTCTGTGTCCCTGTAAGCACTTTCACAATAGGTAAAATCTGCTATTGTGGTCCTGATGGGAAAGATGTACTGTTCATGGAAGAGGGCTTTGAGTGCATCCTCATGGAGCTTGGTTTTTTATCATGTGGCAAGTAAATCACTTGACAAATGACAGCTGCCTGATTCTTGGAAGCAAATAACAATGTTCCCTTGTTAATAATAGTGACAAGGCAATAAGGAAAACAGCAATAATTATTCATGTAAATATTATATTAAAATAACCATTATTAGTTTAAGGGCAGCACATAAAAATAGCTTTTAGTCTGCATCATCCCTTACATTATTGTCACTTTTGGTTCCACAGTACTCATAGGAAGTAGGCAGGGACGAATAGGAATCAGAATAGACTGGACGGGAATTTTCCAAATCACGTAGCAAATTAGCAACAGAGAAGCCATGATTTATAGTGAGCAGAGTTTTATAATTTGGACCCACTAAGTGCCAATGAAAGGGATGCTGGCTTCCCTTTGGAAATGGTGAAATTTTGTTTTCCCACCTAGACCAGTGTTTCCAACCTTCCCTAATTCTGTGGTCCCTTAATAAAGTTCCTCGGTTGTAGTGACCCCCAACCATAACATTATTTTTTTGCTACATCATAATTATAATTTTGCTACTCTTGTGAATTGTAATATAAATACCTGATATGCAGGATATCTGATATGTGACCCTTGTGGAGGTCATGATCCACAGGTTGAGAACCGCCAGTCTAAGACTATTACACTGAAAAGCTGCCCTTCTGTGTGGGAAGCCTGAACCCTGGTGATACATCTGTACCTGTTGGGTGTAACACTTCAAGGAGAGAGAGCTTGGGCCTTGAGTATAAAGCAAGCAGCATTCACAGTTACCTCCATCTTGCCTATGTGATAGAAGTTACAGAAATGAAAAAGAAGAAAATTGTAGCTGTGTAGTGTACAATTTCATAGCTCTGTGACAGTCATTGTAGTTGACTTAACAGAATCTAGACTCTTCTGAATGATGAGTCTTCAGGACACAATTGTTAGAGGATTATCCTTTTAAAATGATCTGTTTGTTATTTATTTTGGATTATTTTGATTATAATATATTAAAAGAGGTGAGAAGACTCACTTACTGAATTGAATTTAAGGCAAACGTTTTCTTTGTGGGCATCTGAATTGAAATCGATTGGTCTTTTGAGTGAGGTCCCAGAGCTAGATGGAAACGTTACACATGTGAATCCACATGAATTTGGTAGTACCACAGTGGGAGGTATAGTTCTCCACCTGAGATCCTGGACTGTATTACATAGAGAGAGAACTGAGCATCTTCAGGTAATCATCTATTCCGTTTCCTGGTTGTAGATGGATATGACTAGCTGCATCAATTCTCACTCTCTTGACTTCCCCACCAGGATGGACTAGGCCCTTAAACCCTTTGTCCTTTAATTTGCATTTGTCATAATACCTGAAAAGACAGCATCTAAGGTCATAGTTACCGCTCCACATTTTCTACCTCCTCTCCTTTCTCTGATGCGTACACTTGATGTCCAATGCCTTACTTTTTCTTCTGTGGGTCCTTATACAAGCCGGAGAATAATCTTGACAGTTGTTGAGTTTGTGTGTGTGTGTGTGTGTGTGTGTGTGTGTGTGTGTGTGGGGAAGGGAGATGAAAGAAATCAGTGAGAAGAAACAACTGATGGGAGTTGGGAGACTTGATAAAAGTAGCTCATAACTGAGGTAACCAACATGGACTTCATCTTTCTTTACCAGGGTACCTCCATATATTCCTGTGGAAAATTAAAGAAGAGCAAAATCAATACAGATTATCAGTGAGGTGCAATAACAACGTAAGCCCCAAAGCGTCATCACCTTAGGGGGCTGCTTCATGAATTTCCCACCACTGCCGAGGCTTGCATTGGGTCTGGTAGCATTGCCCCATGAAAGACAACCAGCTGAAATGATGCCCACACATGTGTTTCAGTCTTCCTGGGTTCTCACACACTGCTGTTTCAATCTAGTTATGGAAGGTTTGATTCTATTTCAATTCACATACCTCAAGGATGACGTCTGCTTTGCATTCAAAGGTGTATTTGGAATCTCCATCCATGCGCAGATCCTTGTGCCAGGTCCCAGTGAGTATGGCAATCAGCCTGATCAACCAGTACCATTCTCAGTGAGTTTATTGTTTAAAGAATAATATACTAAAAGGCAAATAAATACATACAAGTAGAGGACATTGGTTTGCTGTCAAAGCATAAACAAGTTACTACCCACCTTGAAACAACACCAAATGCTGTCACATCGTTCTAGAGAGTGGTAGGGCTGCATCCTTCTAGAGGCTCCAGGAGGGCATATTGTACTTACCTCTCCCAACTTCTGGGACCCTCCTACCTCTCTTGACTTCTATCACTTTGTCCTATCTTTAAAAGACATTGGCAAAGTGTCTACTCTCTGACCTTGTGCCTCCCACCCATAAGGACATTTGTGACTGTGCTAGGCCTGCCTGGTAATGCAAGGCAGTTTCCTTGTTGGCAGATCCCTAACCTAATTACACCTGCAGATCTTTTTCTACATAAAATAACACATTCAAGGTTCAGGGGATGATGATGTTTGTGATAGTGGGTGTCATTATTCTATTTACCACATAAAAGAACAATTAGGAGCTTGGAAAGCACAATAGAGGCAGTTGTGTGTGTGAGACTTATCCTGGGAACACACACACACACACACACACAAACACACACAAACACACACACACCTACTCATCTCAGAAAAGGAACCCAAGACAGACTAAAGTAACAATTACACAAAGTCTGGCTTGGCGAATCAATGAGCTTATTGGGTTACTCATGGGAGTATTGCTGAGGGATTAATTATTTATAGGATCAGGGATGACTCAAAAGCACCTGCATCCGTGAAAAGCCCACCCCAATACCAGAAGCGCACTAAAGCTGCATCCCAGGATCTCTCAGCACTATTTACAGGCAACTCAACAGAGGCAGCAATCTCCTTCCTAGCTGCTGGGCTGGTCACAGACAGTCTCTACCCCTAGCATTTGTTACTGCTATAACCTCGGGATGTCTTCTGAATCTTGCATGTTTTGTCTTTCTCAGATATATGAAGGTTATTTGCTGAGGCTCAGTAGCCTCTCTCCTTGTTCCCTAGAGAGAATATTTCACTTGGAAGGAAACTGAATTCCAATGCAAGGCAGAGGATCAGGAAGGTTGCCACAAAGAATGTGGCATTTGAACTACCTCGAA